TCAATATATTAATTCAATGTAAGTGGTAAATCTTTTACAGCAAAATCAAATTAAATATTAATAGTTAATAAGAAAACCCTGGATAATGTTACCTGGGTTGCATGCTTTCTGATTTTGAATGTTTATATGCCTTTAAAATTTTAATACTTATAGTGCTTATAAATGGCATTTGTTGGCATTCCTTAGAAGTAATGCTTTAATGATGCTACATAACTTACAAGCTAAAGATACTTGTTTATTATTAAGAGTTACAATGAAAAAAATTAGCTGTCAGTAACATTGCGGGACAGGTTCCCATTGCTTAAAATGTTCAGTCTGTCATGCAAGGTTAATTTTACACTGGATTCTCAAAAAGAATTGTGATCACAGGCAGCATAGCTTAGCATTCAGAGCAACAATCACCACCCCATGAATTCCAAATTTTATTATTATTCAGATTTTTTTATATTACTTCTGTGTTCTAACTAGAGGCAGCTAACTGCAGACTACATTATGTCTGTAATTCCACTGAGGGTTTCTGGCAAGAGTATAAACCAGGAGAGTTAAGATCATACTATTTAATAGGATTTCCAACAAGCTGATGTAGAATTACAGGTCTCTTGTGATCATGTGTAGATTTGTTTAATAGTATCTTTTTTCAACTTGTTACTTTGTATTTCAGAATAACATAAACTGTCACTAACTCTGCCAAGCTTTCTGAAGATTTATGTGCTTCTAATTTTGCCTATTTTTGAAATTGTAAATTAATTAATCTGTGAATACTTTCAACAGAAAGTTTGGATGTCTTTTTTTTTTAATTTCTTTTCTTTCCCCCTTTTGTCTGAGTTGTACTGGATGCTGTGTCTGTCTCATCCCAACCTTTCACTTTAAAAAGGGAAATATTTTAAAGCTGCAAAAAATAATGACCCCGACTCTCTGGTGCAGCCCAGCTATTTTCCTTAATGCTACTAACAGAGAAATCGTCCTTCAAGCTGGACGGATGGAGAGATTCTGCGGTAGCCCAGCGAGGTCTCTTCCTTTTCTTCCTCCTCCTCCTGAAACAGGCCCTCTCCAAACCCAACGTTGCATCTCTGCTTTCTGGCCTAGAGATTTTGGTTTTTTTGGTGCCCCTCTGGTGCGATTTATAGCATGCCGCCTCCTTCGCCGTGCTCTAAGCACGATTTCTCTTCCAGAAAGAGTTTCCGCTGTTCCCTCCGCGACGCGGGCGCTGCCGGCGGCGGGACGGCGCGGCCGCGGGGGCTGGCGCTCGTCCGGTAGGAACCGCGTGGCGTGGGCACCGTGGGCACCGTGGGCACCGTACCTTTCCTCGGGCGGCCCGCGTCGCCACGAAGCCCCAGGTGTTGTGGCGGGCGAGGAAGCGGGCAGTCCCGGCGCGTCCCGGCGCCCCGCCGCCCTCCCGCCGGTAGGAGAACATCCTAGAGGGGGCGGCCCCCGGCCCCGGCCGCCGCGCCGCCGGCCCGGAGCCCAGCGCCGCATCCTCCCGGTACGCTGAGGCCGGGTAGCTCTGCTTCCAGAGGCCGCCCGCCTCCTCCAGCAGCGCGGGCAGCGCTTCCTCGGTGGAGGAGCTATGCAGCTCGTCCGCCGCCGCCCCCGCCTCGGGCAGCGGCCACGACACCGAGCTGACCACCACGTACCCCCCCGCGCCGCCCCATAGCAGCGCCGGCAGCAGCCACCACGGCCACCGCCGCCCCGCCGACATCTTCTGCGGCAGCTCCGGCCGCGCCGCTCCCGCCGCGCCCTCCCGCGGCCGACGCCCGCCCCGCACCACCCCCTCCCCGGTGCCGAATGTTCGCAGCAGCGCCCGGTCGATCGGGCGGCACGTCGCGCCTCGGCGTCCTGCCCCCGCCCCAGCCCCGTACGGTGCGGGAGCCGCTGCCCGCACCTGCCCGGGACGCCCGTGGGACACATGCCCGCGGCGTGTGGAGGCCCCTCGCGGGGCTCCGTGCTGGGTTACCTGTCGCTTGTGGGGCACCTGTGACATTTGGAGCCCCTGGGTCAGGTGCGCAGCCCAGTAGGTATCTCACGAAAATAAGTTCTCTACATGCAACACAAAACTTGGATGGACAGGTGGAGCTGTCAGGGCAGAGGCAGTGCGACCTCTCCGTTTATTAGAAAAGAGAGAATTCACGAGGCAGCATGTTCATATGAATATTACCGTTGCAGGGAAAGCTTCATTTGGGGTTAAGTAACAGCAAGACCCCAAGTCTGAGATGGCAGTCAGCACTGGTTTGGTGTTTGCAGGATGTGTTTTGATACGTAAGTACATGGAGTTGCTATTAAATGATATGTTTCCCAGGTGAGGTTTTAATTAGGCAAAGATTTGGATGTATATTTGTGTTTATATTAGTGGCCTGATTTAGTAAAGGCACTTTTCATCCAGCTCTTTTTCTGTTCTTGGCAGTAGACTCCTTCAATTTGACAATGCAAACTTGCAATTCTTTGAAACATATGCTTGTAAACTTTCATCGTGTTTGTGCAAATTATTTAAGGAGCACAGGTTCAATAGGAGACAGGGAGCAATGAATCTCATAGGAGCCTTTGCCTGTCTGAAGATTCTCAGGTACATCTCACAGATCTTACCCTTCCATAGCATATTGCAACGTCAGTCTATTGACACAACTTCTGCTTAATTGTACCACAAGAACATGTTGTATATCTAATCTAGAATCTAAACTCTTATAAATATAAGTTGACTGGAAAATATTGAGTATTTTTAGCTTATATTTTTCCTAGACCCCCTATTCTGTTTTTTTATCTTCACCATAAAAACCTGAAGGATAGTGGAAAGGGATACAACAGGTCTTAAAGCCCAAATGAATTTTTCTGACTGTGAAGATACTTCCTGAGAGTATGTAATTTTGGCACCAAACTCTTAATCTTATCTGTAGAATACATGATTACCTTTCCCTTTAGCACATGGGCCTGTCTGCATCTGCTGTAATACCACACTTTTGAATATTGATTCCCACTACATTGCTTGAGCTGAGACAGAGGGATAGAGATGCAAGTAGAAAATAAATGTAGATTTCCAAACCCAAAATAAGTGAAAGCCTAAGCTCCTGACAAGTGCTTTTCTCTGATTCAGGATATGTCCTTTCTCAAAATAACAAAGCGGTTGTCGCTTCTTGAAATAGCAACCAGACCCAGACAACTCACTGCAGGCATGCTCTTAAAAAATATTTAACCCTCCCATTTCCCTGGTGTTTCAGGGAATTTCTTCACACACTTGTTTTGTAAGCAAAGTACAAGTAAAGAAGTTATAAAGAGAAACCCTGGCATAAATTTGTATGAAATAGTAAATATAGACTATGAAATTTGTGAAGAATGATGAACTCCCAGTCAACCCTGAAACTGTACAGGATCTGCTGCTCCAGCTGGATCCCTACAAATCTGATGGGATTCCCCCAAGAATCCTTGAAGAGCTGGCTGATGTCATCACAAAACCTCTTTTGATGATTTTTGAGCAGTCTTGAGAATACAGAGAGGTCCCAGCTGACTGGAAGCTGGTGGATGTTGTCCTGATTTTCAAGATGGGCAAGAAGGAGGACCCTGGAAATGACAAGCCTGTCAGTCTCACTTCAATGCCTGGTAAAGTTATGGAGAAAATTATTCTATGAAGTATTGAAAAACACCTGAAAGACAACGCTGTCATCAGTGACAGCCAGCACAGCTTCACAAGAGGAAAGTCCTGCTTATCAAACCTGTTTTCCTTCTATGAGAAGGTAACCCGCCTAGCTGATCAAGGGAAGCCAGTTGATGTAACCTTTTTTGCTTTTCAGAAAAGCTTTCAATATTGTCTCTCACAGTATCCTTCTGAACAAAATGTCCAGCACACAGCTGGATAAACACATAATGCCATGGATAAGCAATTGGCTAAGGAGTTGAGCATGGTGGGTAATAGTGAATGGGTTGACATCAGACTGGTGACCTGTCACTAGTGGGGTTCCAAAGGGCTCCATCTTAGGCCTTGTGCTTTTCAACATCTTCAGAAATGACTTGGATGCAGGACTGGTAGGGATACTAAGCAAGTTTGCAGATTACACAAAACTCAGAGGAGCAGTTGACTCCCTCAAAGGCAGGGAGGCTCTGCAGAGAGACCCCAACTAATTAGAGGACTGGGCAATCACCAACAATATGAAGTTCAACAAGGAGAAGTGTTGGATTCCGCACCAGGATGGGACAACCCCAGATGTATGTACAGCCTGGGGAATGAGATGCTGGAAAGCAGTGCTGCAGAAAGGGAGCTGGGGATCCTGGTTGATGGCAAGTTGGATATGAGTCAGCAGTGCCCTGGCAGCCAGAAGGGCCAACTGTGTCCACAGCCAGCCTGTTGAGGAGGTGATTGTCCTGCTCTGCTCCACGATGGTGCCGCCTCACCTTGAATATTGTGCCAGTTTTGGGCATCATGATATAAGAAAGATATTAAGCTATTAGAGAGTGTCCAAAGGAGGGCGACAAAGATGGTGAAGGGCCTCAAGGGGAAGCCGTATGAGGAACAGCTGAGGCCACTTGGTCTGTTCATGCTGGAGGAGACTGAGGGGAGACCTAATTGCAGTCTACAACTTCCTTGTGAGGGGAAGAGGAGGGGCAGGCACTGATCTCTTCTCTGTGGTGACCAGTGACAGAACCCGAAGGAATGGCCTGAAGTTGTGTCAGGGGAGGTTTAGGTTGGATATTAGAAATAGGTTCTTCACCTAGAGGGTGTTTGGGGACTGGAACAGGATCCCCAGGGAAGTGGTCACAGCACCAAGCGTGACAGAGTTCAAAAAGCATTTGGACAATGCTCTCAGGCACATGGTGTGACTCTTGGTGATGATCCTGTGCAGGGCCAGGAGTTAGACTTGATGATCCTTGTGGATCCCTTCCAACTTGGTATATTCTGTGATTCTGTGATCTATGCTGTAGCTTCCAGATAAATTTACCACAATAACTCAGGTAGGTCTTCAGCTTTACTGACGACAGAAAAATACAGGAAATACATAAAAGCAAGCCACAAATAGTTCACCTTTTTTCTGAAGATTTATTCAAATAATACAAATCACATGACAACTTAAAATAACTGCATTGCTAGCCCAGTATTGCATTTAGTATTTCCAGGGGAAAAAAATCTTAAATTTAAGAGAATGAAAACAGTATACCTTAAAGTTGTATCAAAAAGTAAGAATGGTGTAGCATAAAGAATTTTCAAGTCTGGATGGTTTTCTCTTAAGATTTGCTGCTCATTGGAGGCAAAGAAGTGTCTGTCCACCTTTTGAGTAAGAAGTGTTTCCCTTCCAACTTGAAGATCCAGTTTAGTACACGTTATAATAAATCTCTCTTCCAAAATTACTTGGATGTGCTAAAAATTAGAAAAGAAACATGGAAATGTTTTGGCAATAGGAACTGTAAATTTTAAGTTTCTCCCTTCATCAAACAAGAAAAGTCTTCTCTATTCTTTCCAGTTTAACCCAAGGGATTTTATAGATGCCAAGCCTTATTTTACATCAATAAACCCAACAAGAGGAGGCGCACATTGGGGTTCCTCATAGGTAGGCAAAGGTCTGACAGGAGGCCACATCCACTTCTAATATGTCATTCACACTTTGCATTTCTGCTATGAGCCCTTCTATTCACTTTCAAAACAAATAGTCTCAGCCTGTCTCTGTCCTGACGGGACCTGCTTTTTCATGCTGAAATTCTGGCTTTCTTAAAATCAGCAGAAGTTTTGACACTGAATTCAATTAGGGTCATGTTTTTCCCTAGTTTTTTGATCATTTTAGTTAATGATTTCACTTGATCCTGGCTTATACAGACCACTCAGATGAACACTTACCGTTCCTATATGTCAAACAGTTAACTATGTCCTATTTTTTTCTCCCTTTTTAACAAATCAAAGTGTTTGATTTGCTCTCTGCTAACAGAGCTAGGAATAGCATACCCTCAGTCTCCTCGTGCCCTGATTTGCAGTATATTGTATGTTACAAAGGTGTGGAATTGGATTAAAAGCTACAGCACAGTGCTCTGCAGATAAACCCACTGCAGGTGTGAAGTTTAATAGGATTTTAATTTGGTAACAAGTGAACAAAAAGCAGAAACCTAGAATGGGATTTTCTAGATGAAAAAATGTTATTCGTGCTGAAAGAAAGCAAGTGCAAGCTCTGTGATAAGGAATAAAGATGGGGCCAATGCTCTCTGAGCTGCAGTTTCATAGATTACAGCTCGCTCAGAACATCTCCGTTACTGCCACTGGTTTCATCAATTCTTTAGTTCATACTATGTTTGGCTATATAGCATTTCATCTGCCACACTTCCCTCTAAGCCAGTGTGTACAAATCTTCTATTGTCTCACTCCCGCCCTCTACATTTTTTCATATAAAACCAATGTTTTCCTTGGGAGATGCCACCAACTTCGAATGTATTCTCTCTTCAAAATAATTAACAATTATTTTCATGCTTCAAACTATATTTAAAAATAAGATTCAGAAATGTGCTGCACTATTCAAAATAAATGGAAAAATATAGTCTCTCTGCTGAGGAATGTAATTTATATTCAGCATGAACTAGGAAAGGAAAACCAAAAACAGATGGGGAAGGAAGAGAAAGAATTCAGGTGACAACTAAAAGATTACGAAGTGAGCTGCTAATCCACAGACACATATTGGTGCTGCTGATAACAGGGTAAGGTCAGGAGATTCTTTTCTGATTTCTGTTACCAGTCCTCCCTCTTGTTTTCCAGGGTTTTGTAGCACAACTAAGTGGTTAGCACTAATTTCAATGAGGTGAGGGTGGAGGTGTGATAAGCAGACTGTTTTTTTTCCCCAGCACAACAGACTGTAGAGAAGGCATAGAAATGCCTTGTGGGACAAGATTAAAATGCCGTAGAGGTTGGTGTTGTTGGCAGTGAACGGAGTAGAGGATGGGAACTGACCAGTGGATCGCGGAGAGCTGCTGAGGCTGTATGAGGTGAAGCAAAAATTATGAAATAAACTCATGATGCACAGAGCAATATGTTAGGCAGCAGAAATGCAGTCCAGGAAACAGCAGTGTGTCTGGTGGATGCTGCTAAGGCTGCTGAGGCTTTAGATACCCAACAGAATGGGCTGTGGCCGAAGGGGTGTTAGTCAGGAGCAGGGATGCTTGGGAGATGGTTGCTTGGGAGCATGATGATGATGGTGATCAAAAGTCATAGAACAAAAATTCTCATGCAATGAGAATCTACTCAAAGGATCTATAGAGATGGCCATACAAACAAAGTGGTGGGTGATGGAGATGCTTTTGGCAGCTGTGTTTTTTATCAACCTATGGAATTAGTATTGCACACAAAAAGAAGGAATCTGCAATGGTTGAGGTGGGAGCTACCACCTGTCTGAAGAAAACAAGCGGGCAGAAATGCTCACTCACTCTATCACAGACCCTGAAGCACTTTTGAGCTGCAGCTTGAAATTTTTCAGCTCCCTCAAAAAGTTGAACCACAACATCAACAGGCTCTTACCAGAATTTCTTTTTCATCCCACCATTATCAGCATCTTGCATGTGGACTGGTAGAATCCATCATCTGTTGGCTTCTTTAAACTTTTTCTACACTCAATCCTTCACTGTGTCCTTTCCTCATCCATAACTTCTCTCAAGTTGTCCTACTCCTCATTTCACATTTTACACCCTTCCTCTCTTATTCTGACATCCCTCATCCCTCACTCTAATCAGCCTTGCTCTGTTCTTGCAATCATGTACAAAACATGCAAAACTGACAGACATATTTATAGGCACATCACTTACACAGACCAAACCTGGGTCAAACCCTTGTCTGTGTCTGGGTCAAATACCTGCAAAAAGCATTGAAATGGCCATAGGAGGCCATACAAAAGCCCACATGGGCAGTACAGTGAAGAGCATAGGAAGCAGGGCAGATATTGAATGAGATTTCTAGTGGTTTATTTCCTCATTTCTGATCATCAGTGATTTAGAGCTCTCCTGCTAATAGCTGGCACTCAGCTCAGTTTGGTTTTTGACTATAAGGTGGTATGACAGGATGGGTTATTATTTTACATTTGAAAAATAACAAAATCTGTCAAACATGCCCATCACATGTATAAATCATTCTTAGTTTGTCCCCTTCATACCTGCTTTCTCCCCTCCAACTTCCGTTGCTGAGCTAGTCTTAGCATATCCTATGTTTAAGAAATTAGGGTCCCCTAAGGGTTATTATAACTAATAAAGATGTTTTTAAAACAGTCAGTTTCCACTCCTGGTCCTAGTATATGGAAACTGAACACCTCTTGGGTTTAAAATAACTATAGCAGGGTCGCCCCAAAAATGTAATTTTCTTCGTGAGTCTTGGTGCCATTAACATTTGTCCTTCACAGTTTTCTGGAAAACACAGTGTTCTCTGAGATTTAAGATAATGTCCTAAATTTAATTTCTCTTCCATATTACTGCATGGAAGACAAATCTGAAAACAGCTGAATGATTAATTCATCGCTTGCATTAAGCACAGAGACTTGATCCATGTTCCCATATGTCCTTATATTTTAGCCTTGTATCCTAGAAGACTCAAAGTCTATCTTGTTTTCTACCTGTATGCCTTACTTTATGCTAGTAAGTTTGGAGCAGTGGACTGACTGCAAGGAAGCCTGGTGGAGAGAAAGGTCTCAAGGATTTAATTTTTCTGCATCTTTTGATAAAATTAACAGATAACTGGAGAGCAGAGAATGTGCTCTCGATGCTTCCAACAGTGAGAAAAGACCACACTGTGCCCTCTCTCTTCTGATCCATAAATACATGCAGCCCATTTTGCCAGCTAGCCCACAGCCTGCTCCAGCCCACCTGAACAGTACTGCTCTTCCTTAGACAACGCCTGGGGAATCTGATGGAGCACCAGAGGTCTGCTGGAAACCTAAGGAAAGATCAGGGAACTGTGGTACTGAAGAGGTGGGTGGTGTGGAGATTACAATGCCTTGATAGGATCATGGGATGGGTGTGAGGTGTGAAGGATGCTTTATGACTACAGTTTTCAGTGACATCGGACACAGCTCCATGAAAACCTGGATTTCATTAGTTCTACTTTACATGCATAAAAACCCTCAACCAAACACAGCCCTCCCAATCCCTGGGGTTATAATCTACCCAATTTCTAACTGGGGTTTTGTCATAGTTTTCTTTTATGTTAATGTTAATTTCACCTTGCTGGCAGTGGCTGTGTTCACCAAACAACTCAGAACTCTGGAAAATATTGCTTAATCCAAAGTTATTCTGGTTCTGCATCACGAGAGCTGTCTGTGGAGCATTGGCTTGAGACTGATCCTCTGCAAAACAGGCTGAGAGATGGCTGGGCTCATAAACACACAGAACAGGGACCTCATTTTGCTTTGCAACCAAGGAATTTCCATCTTCTTTCTCCTCCTCTATATAGGTCTGGAAAACGTGAGCCGCAAAATCAACAAGTAGCAAATTCAACAAAAGCCAGGATCCTAGTTTTAAAGAAAAACAAAGATAAGTATGACAACCTTTTAATTTGCTTATCTTTATGGTGTGTTCTTTTTTGAAGGGCTTTGTTATAGTAATGAGCTAGATAAAGTAGCATATCAGCACTCATCGAACAGGACTTACAAAATTACGTACTTCCAGATTTCACGGCAAAAGAGGCACCAAGTGCAGATTTTAAACATAAGCAAAAACTTTTTCCCTTATTTAACTTAGCGAGGAAAGTGTATTTGTGTTCATTCACTTTCCCGTTCAAGTTTTTCCCCCACATTAATTTCTACTACAAGGCTTATCAATAACAATGTATCATTCCCATTCTCCCCTCAGACAAATAAATCATTCCACCTCTTCCCAAGCAAAACCTCCTACAGATGTTTGTATGTCTTGTATTTATGACATTAAATGGCCTACGCCTACCTTGCAGCCTGAGCCATAACTGCTAAAAGCCAAGAGAGACTCTCTGAGGCCACTGACATTTGAATCATACCTTGACTGGAAGTCCTTACAGTAAAAAGTAGATCTTCTTCCATGCCATAAATCTGTGTAGGAATTCATGAAGTAATTCATAACCTCTGCATCCCACAAACAAGTTTACATGGACATCAACAAGAAGGTACCACAATTTATATGAACAACCAAGGTTTATAGAGCTTTAAAAATGAAAAATGTCTCTTTTGATGTTAAATGTGTCTGAGAAGATGCTGCTTCTGCTGTTCATCCTTTTGGGGGTCTTTAAACTATAGCAAAGTAGGTGGAAGCACTTGTTTACCTATGGAAAGGGATTTTTATAGTTGGAGTTGAAAGTATACAGACCTGACACTAGTAGTCCAAGAGTGTTTCTATCAGTCTTTCAGGTGTTTTCAACATATTTAATAAAAGTAAGCATGAAACCAAAGCTACCACTCCAGTTGCCCCTTGGATAATACAGAGGGACACAGTTTTCAAGAGGGACTAGGTTGAAGCAGCTTGCTTGCAAAGGAGGAATGCACAGGTCACTATCCAGACCTTGTGGCTTGGAATGCCTTGGAAGGTAGACCAGTAAGGAAACAGAGGTGTGTGAGCCGACATGAAACTCGGTGAGGGAAGTATGTCCCAGTACCCCTGACTGCGGCTCCACACTTTCTCCGTACTGCCTTTCAGCAGGGGTAACTGCACAGTTCCTCCAATTGCACTTGGGCATCACCCACGTGGAGGCTGGGCTGGGCTGGAAAAGGGTAAAAGTCAATTCTAAATTCTGAGGTGTAAGTATGCCAGTATATTATGTGTGCTGGATATGGCAAACTCCAAGGCAAGAGATTGAGTCAGAAGTAAGTTTGGTTTTGGTTACTAGTATGTGGTTTATTTTGGGTGTGAGACACACTGCATTTGGCCAGACGCACTGGCACTCACACATTTCCCTAAGTGATTGTGTTTCTGCAGTGTGGATGCTACATAGTTTGACTTGCAGGATGCCCACCATTCCTGCAAGAAATGCTGACATTTAAGAAACTTCTGAAAAGCAATGACCCTGAGAACTTTTACATCAGATGGCTTGTTAACAGAACTGCTTCAGCCTGTCTGCTAAAACTCAATATCCTAATGGAATAGAAACATGTGAAAGAAGGGACATCATTAGATCAAATAACGCAACATCTTAAAGCACTGGGGTTATTAAGAAAGAAGATAATAATGACCAAATTTTTGGAGCATCATAGCAAAAGATTAAAAACCATTTTTAACTCTCTCATATATGAGAAAAAATTAAATCAGTGTTATTGAAGTACAGTAGGAAGACTGTCATAAGTGACAGTGAAAATAAAAATTGTAACTACTTCAAGGAAGGCTCTGCAGAGGCAGACATGCACTTCATCTGTTGCATCCCATCCTTTGACAACTGCAGAACAAGGAGCCAATTCATTAAACTCTTCTTGCGGTGGAAAGAGGGAAGAGGATGTCATCATCATGGGAGATTTCAATAAACATTATGCTTCCAGTGCAGTTCTTGGAATTCATTCCCAGCCTCCTCATTGCCAAGAATATTGCATGTAACATTGGAGAGTTTTGTGCAGAACTCCTCCAGAGATTAAGAAATGACTGATTATTTTATTATTACTGTAATGCAGCAGCTGATGGACAAGGGACTCTACTGTGCTATGTTCCCTGCAGACACAGAACAAAACTCTGATCCTGCTTAAGACAGTTTACAATCTAAACATAAGGCAAAAGGTAGCAGCTTGATGCAGAAGAAGGGTGTGTTCATAGATGCACAAACACAGGCATTATTGGGGTAAGAATACCAAAGAACACAAAAGGCAACAACCTTAACAATACCCCTTTGTTATGTCTTTGCAGGAAACACATGAAAGTACAGTTTTGAAGGGGCATTTCAAAGAAGATAATGAGGTTTTCTTTGGCTATTTATGTGAAGCCCCGTCCAACAGAAGAGTCAAAAATATGAAGGTGCTGCTTTGAAATTCTAAATGGCGGTTCATAGAGTTCGGGATTAGATGCCTCTCACAGGAGATGGTGCATTTCTGCTGAATGAAGCCTCTGAAAGGTGTTACAAATGACAAGAAAGGCAGTTAGGGTAGAGACTGAACCGATTTAAGACATGGTTGTATCACTTCAAATCACTTCAAGTGAACATGACTGCACAGTTCCTTCACTTCTCCTACCTTGCACTGGTGTGTGATGGATTTGATGTTTGACAGCTCAGAGCCCTAAAACAGAGAGAAAACTAAGCCAGCTAAAGGAGTGACTATTTTCAGTCAGTTTAACACCTTCAACAGGTGTGCTGCTAACTAAGCATAAGGAAAAGGAGCATTTGGAAGGAGCTGCTGTCAGATGAACTAACTGCCTTTTTGGCAAGTAGTTATCACAGTGACCTACTCTGGCAGAGCAGTTCTTTCTGTAATATATAGAAAGAACCTGAAGGACTTGGAGCTATCACTTGAGAGACCTAGAATGTTTATGGTTTGGGATATTAGCAACCCCAGCTCTCCATCACACCCTTCTGCTGTGGTGTGCAACTCTGGTATGGAGGGAGAGCAGAGGCTCTCACTTCAGGCTGCTGTTTTCCATTTCCCCACAGACAAACTATGACTTCTGCCAAAAGAGGGAGTCCTGCCCTTCCTGCCATCTCCAGCTGCATGCTCCTACTCTTCTCCCTTCTGTGAATCCTAGAGTTTTGCTCAGACAACTGGTCTGGTTAAAAACTAATAATTTAATTTCCCTGACCTACCTATAGCCACATCACCAGGAGAATGGTGATTGAAGGAAGGAAGTAGAAAGAAGGGATGACTTTATTAAGTAGCATGAATTTATGTCAGTTAAAATCATGGAGTCACAGAAACACAGAATAGTTTTGGTTGGAAGGGATCTTAAAGACCATCTGGTGCCAACTCCCCTGCCACACACCTTTCACTGGATCAGGTTGCTTAAACCCCCATCCAGCCTGGCCTTGAACTTCCAGGGATGGAGTATCCACAGCTTCTCTGGGCAATCTGTTCCACTGCCTGACTACCCTAATAGTAAAGAATTCCTTCCTAATATCTAATTTAATACTACTTTCCGCTTAAAGCCATTCCCCATTGTCCTGTCACTACATGCCCTGATGAAAAGGTCCTCTCCAGCTTTCTTGTCAGCCTCTTTAGATACTTTTAGATCTATTGCCTCTGTCATCTCAGGTCAGAAAGGGGCATATGAAATGAGATTCACAAAGATCCTACTTACCAAAACTGTCTGTCCTGTTGATGGTCAGAATCTTGCCTACAGTGCTCAGCAGGAGGTTCCATTTCAACATAAAATCTGATGCCTGCTTTTTAAACGTCTCTTTACTCCTGCTTGGCTGCAGATAAAGAAAATAATTGGTTTATGATACAGGTGATTAAAAGAATTCCTTACTGTGTGGCAGACTATTTCCCTGTACAAACTGGGAAATAGTTTCAAGTTTTTCAATACAAAGGTGGAAAAAGCAACAAATATTTTTTTCTGTTAGAATCCTAAAATAGCTGAGGTTGAAAGAGATCTTTGGATATTACCTAATCTGATCTCTTGTCCAAAGCATGGCCAGCTTAGTTCAGGACTTGTCCAACCAAATTCTAAATATCTCCTGAATAAAGATTCCACAGCCTTTCCAGGCAATCTCTTCCTATGCTTAATTACTCTCATAGTAAATTTTTTTTCTTTTGTATTGCCTTATGCCTTATAACTGTGAAACCCCAGGAAAAGTCCTGCTCTTTCTTCTCTATACCATCCCATGAGGTAGCTGAGGGTTCCATGAGATGAATGCACCACAGAACTGCAAAGTATCTTTCTTAATTTAAAAAGGAAAAAAAAAGTCAAATAAGTACAGTTTACTTTATTTCTTCAGAAAGGGAAAAAAATTACCCAAACTCTAAGTATCACCCAGACCCAAGTTAACTGGCCTGGCAACCAATCCAATGCAGCATACAAGCTACTACTAATTCTGAATCAGGCAAGGAAGAGGGATGGTAGAATGGGTAATCTGTCAAAAGGTACATATGTGAGGATGTTCATACTGGAATCTTTCACAAGAGCTAGAGACTTTGCACTAGAAGTTGTCACTCTCTTACTACCTGCTAAAAGTCAACAGTTTAGTGAATCAAGGATTTCAGAGATTAGGAAGGATTCTTTTCATTTTTAATAACATATTACTTTTGAATTTTGGTTTATTAGCAACTGCAATAATACGTGTCTATGAAATGAGAGCAGATACTGAAACCACTTGAGCGGATATATGTGCAGAAATATGCTTGTAGTTGTTTGCACAGATGGAACTTTTGTATGCCAATTAATTTTCCATTTTCTGCAGCATGCATAAATTGTATCTATGGAAATCTGCAGTCTGGTCAGGTTGCTAGTGTGCAATGTAGCTCCTGCAGACTAGTGACAGTCAGCATGTAGCAAGATAAATGATGTGATCACTCTTTCTTTAGTGAAATTATTAATTTAATACCTTAATGACAAAAGTCTGAAGATCTGAAGAGAAACAACTCAGGAGATCCCGAATATCTGTGGTAGATGTCAGCGAAGAAATTAAGTTTTTCAAACCTGTGAAATACAGAAGAGAGATCATTACATGAAGTGATTGGCTTGCCTTTTGGTTTGTTTCTGCCCTTTTTAGCTTCCTTTTTCTTTTATCTTTACCTTAAAATAGATTAAGAAATCTGTTTCTAGTATTTTGATTAATATATAGTACCCTACTTGGACATGAACGTGAATTCTGACTGATTTCAATTTCCACCATAACTCCACTGACCTAGTCATCATGGCAAAGGTGACAAGAAAAAGCACTTCCAATGAAAAAGCTGGAATTTGGTTATAGGTAATACTAACATATGTATCTGAGATTTTATGTGGTTGAGAAAAAAAAATCTTGGTTTATCTCTTGAAGGGAGAAAACAGTTTTAAAACAATAACATTAAGTGTAGAATATTCTGTAGGCCAACTGAAATACAGATAATGTTGCCACATATCAGTACAGCTGTTCCCCCAAAAGATTGGAACCTACCACCCAATGCCAAAAGGGAAACTGCATCTCTCTGAGTTTATACCCTTCTGAGACATCTTCCTTCAAGAAATCATATGTATAGCGTTTGTGAAACCTTGCTTATTATAAATAACAGTTTGCAAAAGCAATGAAAACAGAGAATGCAATAAACCCACCTTGGAAAGAGTAAGATCATGATAATATAATGGAAAAATGTATTAAAAGTGTTCTGTGCAGTGGTTTTGATTTTAACATGTATACAAATATTATTGAAATGGTTCTGCTGATTGTTCTGTGAAGAAGGCAAATTATTATTCCTACTGAAAGAAGTCACAGAAAGTCTGTGGCATATCCCTTGTCAGTGCACAAGTCAGTGATGGAGCAGGAACAAAGAGTTGAGGTTTCCCCCTGTCACCTCTGTACACAGCCTAGTCCAACTTGCCCATCTCTTGCTAACATTTTAAATGGCAGACCATTAATCAAAAAAATTAACTTGCCATTATGTTTCTGTTTCTTTTCATTAAGCTGGCAAATACATTATGTCACGGCTGCATACAAACTGAGTATTTTATTGTTTACAGCACAACATTGATCCCACAGGCCACAATATAGCAAAATGACATGAAAGCTGAAAGGCTTTGTCCAGTTCAGCATACAGTATTTTAAAACCTAACCATAAGAAATTATTTTATGTGCTTCAATTAATAACAGAGAAAAATGTAAAATGCGATGATTGAAAACATCTTTTCTGTCAAAGGAAAGAAAAATTAATATCCCTGCTTGCCAACCTTCTTCTAGAAGATATATAATTCAGTAACACAAACCCCACTCCTACTGCCACAAAAAGCTTCCAGAGAGAGTCAGAACGGACAGCCTTTAATTCTTAACCTTTAGAGTTAGGAGGATAACACCACGTGATCCATTCTCAGTTTTATTGGCTTTTTTCCAGCCCTTTGGGTTACAGTAAGACAGTAATTCCCATTAGGGCAGATGCCATGAATGAGCAAGAGGAAATGCTGGAGCTTTAACAATGGCAAGCAAGGGCTTAAGTGGATAGACAAATATAGCAAAAAAAATATTACATTTGAATTGTATGTTTTTCTGCCGCTTCTTTGGATTCCTAAACTTCTCTCGAAAGAGGTTTTTAGTCACATCCAGAGATTGCTCATTGAAGACAGCATGCAAGCCTGATCGCAGAACAGTGACTGTGCTGTTGTTGTTCAAGAGTGCTCTTACTGTCTGTAGAGAATAAAAAAACAGTTAATGCCTTTCATTCTCTCAAGCTCTTAAGTCAGCCAAATAAGGAAATTGAAAAAGGGAAGCTTCCCTTACTCAATACTAGACTTCATATGAGCAGTCTCCAAACTGGGAGAGGGGCTACAGGATCAAAGGAGATAAGAAGTTGTCTTCAAGAGATTTTTGTTCTTTCCAATGACACTCTGTGTTGTCTGCGATGAAGCAGACAAGGCTAACATGCTTGAATTATCTGGGCAATTGCCTGGGCAATTGGTTTTGTCAAGAGTTACTATAATTACACCAAATAACAGTATTTTGTCTAAAGCATGGAATGGTGTATCAGGGACAGCTTTCTCTCGATGTTACCTGTCCTTAATACATGTTTCAATTAAATTCAAAGGCAAATTCAATTCAATTCTCCAGTTGTCCAAACCTTTGAGAGAGTAAAAATGACATTAGAAATATGGTCATTAGTTAAAATAATATCAGTTGGGATTTTATCACATTTATCTGCTTATGAGTCATTTGTGAATGAATCTGTCTTCATATTTGTCCCAAAAAGTATTATTCACATAGATATTGCAAACAATTTTCAGACTAACATTTGATCCTCATCTCTTCATTTTTTTTTAATTAATTGCTAACATCACATAGTATTCCTTAAAATTCTTGGTGAAATGATGAAAACAGTCAAGGATACAATTTCCAATCTTGTCATTCTGCTAACTTTTTTGAAACACTAAAAACATTCTGATTCTCACTCAGTAATCCCCTTCATCTAAGTTAAAGACAAAGGCATTTTTCTTATTTGACTTGCAGTTTTCAGTGTCAGAAGAAGAGCCTGCAACAAGAACACATGATTCAAAGGCTGGGAACTACCAGGGGCAGCTTCTTCAGTACCCTGCTAGCACCTGACTCCATGCCCCAACACCGCGGACTTATCTCTTTAGCCATTGGACTATACCAGATATAATTTTCTAAATGACAGCACTTAAATACAGCTTACCAGACGCAGGAATCAGCTCCAGGAAATGACAAACATCTTATCCACATTCCTTTTTCAAAGGGAATTTACACCTTTTTATGCTCTAATTACTTTTGCATGTCCAGGTAGTAGCAGCTGTCAGCCTGTTTTATCCACACATGATGGAAAATTTACTTTTTTCTTTTGAATGCTGACCCTGACAAAATTGTTCATATTTTCTCACCAGATGGCTAAATTATTGCAAAGTACTCTACAAGGGATGGTGTGGTTACACTGTTCAGAGGCTGCAGCTGCACTGTGCCTCTGTAGTACTTCTCATCACAAGCACTCTCACCTGCTTTGACCATTAAGTCTCTAGCTGAAATCCCAGGTGCGTTTTAGACAGAGAAAGCAGAGAAGAGTAATTAGAAATATCAGATTACTCCTATGTGAGAAGAGGAGATAAACTTCAGATTTGGATAGAAATAACTGAGGAAGGATGTGATGGAGATTTGCAGAGAGAATTGCATGAAGAAGAGTAGAATTTTTTTAAATAATAAAGTATTTTTTCACACAACAAATAATCAAACCCTGGAACTCACTACCCCAAGATGTTGTGATGTCAAAAATCAAGTTATTTAATACTATGATGTGGATATTAGCTGTCATCTCAGATTGCTGGAAGCCAGGAGAGTACAGTGGAGGAGGAGGACGGTATTGCTTGCTCTACTCACACCCACTTCACATGAGCATCTGAGGTGGGTGACAGTGTGAAACAGGATACGAGTCCACACAAGCACCTAGGGTGGGTCTGACTGACTAAACCACTCAGCAGTCTTTCTAAGGGACATCCACTTGCCCATGAACCACCTGCATATTTTTCACAAGCTGAAAAGTCTAAACATCTGTGGTGTTCATCTCACCATCTTGTGGCATGCCTTGGACAGGGGGATGCAGTTTGCAGGAGGATATTAACTGGTGTTTCTTTCCTACCCTGTTTCACTGGAGCCTAGCACTCATGGCTTTGGCAAGATCTATAACAGAAGTTATAATCAAGGCTATGTGACTGCTGAAGGACTACAGAGATGCTCATTTACAAGACTTACAGAGTCTCAATTATTGAAATTATTGGTTTTAAATTGATGATGGGACTAATAGTCAAGTACAGTGGAACTCCTTTGCTTTTCCCTTGTATTTTGAAGAAGCTCTAGAGAAGGTACAAACATCATTTACTTGTGAGAGCTGTAAGTGTAGATTTGACCCTGATTCTTGGGTCTGCTGTGCTCACTTTGTGCTGATTAAACAGTGTAAAGGGGATGTAGAGCAGCCAGAAGCTGCTGCTAGAGAATTTCCCCAACTAGCTGCAATTCTCTTGTCCTAAATCTTGAGGGCGTAAATCTAATTTTGACTCTCTGCAGCTTTTCTGCACATTAGGAATAGGGAGGGAAGAGTCAAAAGCTACAACCAGCCCTTTAACATTACAAGAAGGATGATATGAATTCTGAGCATGCAAATCAAATGCAAATGGCTGGGAATAGTTGACACTTGTGATCTTGCTGGATTATATTCTTCAATAAGAAGCCCTGTTTAGAAGCACATAAAGCTAAACTTTTCAGGTATTAGTATCTCCAAGGGCTGCTGCAGTAGATGGAAACTCTGAGTGCTTAGCACTTTATAGAAGTCGACTTATTGCCTGTGTTAGCACACCTATGTGTGTTTGTGCATTATTAATTTTTTTTTAAAGTAAGAGGGGTGTGTGTTTTGTATCCTGCTGGTGATGAAGCCTGCCTTCCTGCCTTCCTTCCTTCCTTCCTTCCTTCCTTCCTTCCTTCCTTCCCCCTCCTCCTCCCTTTCTCTCCTTCCCTCCTTCCCTCTGTTTATCGTGGGGAGACAACACAGTGATTTAAGTCAGGTGGCATGTTGGAGAAATCTTGTCCTTGTTGTTTGAAGGAGAGAATATACCATCTGTTCTCTTTTGCTTTCTTCCCTATTTCTGAACTACCTCTTCTGCCATGGCCTGGACCACCTCAAAACCCAAGGGTTTGGAAGGATCCAAGGACACCAATGGAAGAAATATTGCAGAAAGGGTACAGGCCTGCATAATAATGCAGCACTGAATGAAACTATTTACTTTGCCATGTTCAGAGGTTTAAAAATGCAGCTTCTGAAGGCACCTCTGTAGCTGAGAAGAATGATACTGCAGAGCAAAAAGCAGGCAGAAATATTAATCGTTAGAGATATTCTTCTCTCTTTCTTCACAAGGAAAAAAGCCAGTCTGAGTGACTGGACCCTGAGGAGGAAAGGGCAGAGGAAGCTACCCTGCATCCCTCTTCCTAACACTGTCAAAGCAGAGGATGGAAAAGATTTTTCCAGTTGAACCCTGGGATCTTGAGCCCTTAGACACTTCATGGCCTACTCCCTGACCATGCAGCTTCTCCACAGCCAGTGTGTTAGTGATCTCCCTTGTGCAGGCTGCTGCAGCACTTGTCAGAGAAAGTGGTCAGGATGTTGCACAAAACCAACTTTAGAATAACTCCAGCATGTGCTGTCTGACTGACTTTGTCATGGATGAGTGAAGATACTGGAAATTGTCATCTGATCCTTCCAGCTACTGTGTTCTCCTCTCCATGGGGGACCACTGACCACATCTCAGAGGCTTTTGCAGAATCCAGAGGGAGGAAAAGGTCCTGTCAGCATACTTAACGATGTGGGAAGAGATGAGTAGGAGGGTGAGCATGATTTAGACTACGGTCAGTTAAGAACACCCATGCTGCTGCTGCTATTGTCTTACAGTGGAGCATCTGAAATTTAGTCCAAACTGCTTGTGTGAATGAGATGCCCATCTTTTTTGCTTCACGGGTTCTGCAACATACCTTGGCCATGTTACAAAGGTCTGTCTGTCTCCTGAGTCTTTTTACAAACTCTTTAACTTCTGTTAAAGAAGAAGAGGCAGATGTTTCACATCATTAATATTTTACAGTCTAAAATACATTAATGAAGACAGATCTTTTAAGTTAGAAGGTAGATCCCTAGGGGAGCTTTGGAGGGTAACAGAGAGCACAGTGGGGGCACTGAGCCAGCATTATAGGCTGGGCTGGGGACCCTTGCAGTCAAAGCTTGCAAGGAGAAGCTGCTTCCTTCACTGTGAATCTATTAACCCATGATTTACAGGAAAGATACTTTCAATATTTTTTTACATTTAATACTTCCTAATTAAGATTAATGTTCTTTTACCTGTATGGTTTCAAGTGAATGAAAGCAATCGTAAATCTAAACCTCCTGTATTTTGTTTAGACAGTTTACATTTCCACCTTTATGCATCTATAATTCTGCAGCACTGTGAATAGGAGTTGGTTTCTTTTGTTCTACTTTTGTCCTGTTTATGTGTTATATAATTATGAAAAGGTCCAAGAATACACTTCTTAAGAATAAAATATAAAATAACTGATTTTCAGTGGCAGGAAAATCAAGTATAAAGCAACTTCTGTAGACAGACAGTGATTTTCAGTGAAAATTTCTGTTTCTATGATGTTTGTACAAAGAAGAAAGACCAGGATACATATACAAAGGGTCATAGGTGATTATTGACATATATGCCCATGCACACACATGTTAAAAATACATTACTAAGCTTGCTCTGTCAAGCATTCAAATGTAAGAAATACCAGAATTATTTTGTCTCAAAGTCTTTCTTAGGCATATGATTCCTAATACAATCTTTTGTCTACACAGGAGCCCTGCTTCACTACTATGGAGCTGGTCTTCAGTCAAGGAGCAACTGAGCAACATGATGTTTTAGTCAGAATCTTCAGCATCATATATATAAATATATACATGTGTGTATGGACATATTTACGAATGCAAACATATACACACAGGTTTGTAGAGTACAGACTTTTTCCAATCATCCTCAATTCCTCTAATGGAAGTCATAGTTTCCCTATAGGAGTGTGGCTTTTTTCCCTCCCTTTATATTGGACTGTGTTATAGCCATTAATTAATTTATCAGCATAAAACCAATTGCAAGGTGAAGAGACAGAATAATATCTAAATTTCAGAGGGCAGGCTGCTTATTATTTGGTTATCTACACAGCCAAAGGAATCGTGGCAGAAGACATCTTTAAAAAGGTTTAAGTACACTTCAATTTACCATAAATTGGGAATAATTTTGGCTTAAATTTGTTCTCACACATTATCTGAGACTATTTATTTTTAACTGTATCCCAGCTAACTCTAGTTGTTGCTACTATTGAAGTTACATTAACTAAACAAGTTTTTAAAATAATTTAAGAGTCTTGTAATACAATCTTTTTTGCAGTTTAATGAGAAGTTATTTTTGAAAATTTCTCTTACTCAAACCTACCATTAGATTTGGATGTTTGGAGCATTAGTGGAAATCCTCCCAAAGGATTAAGCATCCAACATTTAACATTTTCGCTGAACAATCTGATTGAGTCGATGTGTTGTGCAGGCACCTCCTCCAGGAAATCAGGAAGTAGGATGTTCTCCAGTTCCTAGAATACAAATTCATGGTGCTGCAACAGATGAGTGTACTACAGATATTTACAGCATCACCAAATAAAATTGTATTGATAGTTTAAATGTAAAGAAGCCCATTTTTTTCTTCCAGTTAAGCAAGAGCTAAGCTACCTTTATTAGCAGAAGGAAAAAGATTTTAAGACTAAATGTTGTTTCCTGAATTAATTACTAGACACTACTTAATGACCTGCTGCAAGTCAGAAGCAAATTATTTTTATCAGAAAACTGCATATTTCTATGTGGAATGTCACTGACAAGTGTTCTCAAAGGAAAAGTAACTCTCATAATCTGGAAAACAGTTATCAGTTGAAATTTCAGTCACATAACCTCATGCCAGAACCACAGACTACATTAATAACAGCACATTCCATTGATATCGGGGACTTTCAAATTAATACATAGGAGGAAAATGGAAGTTATCTCAGATTCCACTGGCTCCTTTCAAAACACATACTATTCTCTCTCAGAAGAAGCCAAAGAACAGAGATGAGGTAAGAATGAAAATCCCGTTTGTACAGCACACAAGAAACCGCCGACCTTTCTCCTTATATAGAATTACTAAAAAGACATAAACATGTAGTAGCATAATTACAACAAGCAAATGTGGCTACAATACCTTGAATAGATACCTATCATAGCTTTTTAACAGCTGGCACACATCTGGCAAGCACATCAGTTCTATTCTTTCAGGCTGCAGAGACCTCCAGAACGACATGATACAGTCTTCTACCTGTCACACAAAGCCTTTTATGAATTTTCACTGATTTTGCACTTGTGAAATGTGAAGTGTATTTCAGTAAAACAACATACAAGCACAGAAGCAAAGGAATGACTGTGGAGATGGACTCTTTACCTGGGCCCATCCTGGCTGGGCTCCAGTGTAAGTGGAAGCATCCTGGGGACGTGGCAACAACCTGAACCTCTCAAGGCAGTGTAGGAAAGAGGGGAGAAACAAAGAATTGTGCCATGGACATGAGGATATAATGAAAGATATGTGTCTGTGGCCGTGTGTTATGCGCTGGGCTCAGATCTTTTGATGTGCCAGGAGGGCTCAGGATATGCTTGCAAACTCAGATTCTTGGAGCATGTTGTGTTGATTCAGAATTTCAAAATAACTTGACTGAATGCTCCTTTAGTCCGTAAAAGATCATCTACCATAAATCAAATCATGAAGTAAATATGCTACACAGACACAATGTTTTTCTTATAGTTGTTTGCTGTTGTCAGAATAAGTGTTAATAAAGCAAAGGCATACCTTGTCAAGCTTGTTCTCTCTCACCATTTGTAAAATAACTTGACAATAGTTGTAGTAGTCATTGGCAAGCAGTGCAATCTGTGACCAAAAAGAGAGTACAAAATGATCTCACAGCAAAAGAGCTAACTTGCTTTATGATAAGATACTTTGAACGTACCATTTCGTAGGGGTCTGTCTCACTTTGCACTTGCTCTCCAAGGAAGAACTGGTTGAATTCAGGAAAAAGGTATTGAAATGTCTCTTTCTCAGCCTTTAGATAAATGACAGATGGATAATACTCCAAACTCTTACTCTTGATCATCAGAATTTATTTTGAACAATAAAAAGAAAAAAGATTGCAATTATTTTGTCAGTTCGGTTAGAGGTATTAAGTATTTTCAGTATTTTCTTGAAATTGTAGAACACGATTTTTTAATAAGATTTATTTCTTCAGAGAAATGCTTGTCCTTTTTTTTCTTTTTTTTTTTTTTTTTTTTTTAGAAAATTGGGGTGGATGAAAGAAACAAGCAGGGCTGCCTAAACATTTAAATCCTAAACCATACATGAATTTCTTTTTAAAACCGGTGAATATTTAATGCAATACATATCTTCCACATATATTTTCTGTAGCACTCATGTCACACTTGTAACCTTCTGCACAAGGCTGCAGATAGTTGGCTGTGCTGTCAGGGTGACAGCAGACTTCTCATTGGCCACCATTACATCCACTTCAGAGCACTCATTACTGCACCCGAGCACTCCGTAAAAGTAAGACAGACATCCAGTCTCTTATTTTTTCCTCACTTTGGTCCACATAAGTTTGTTGCTCATGCTCTGCTGGATGATGTTCAACAAGCCATCCCATGACAGCTCACTGAGGGGAAAACTGCCATAGGTTACCTGTGCATCCACCCTTTTCAGTGAGCAGGGGTTATGCTCTTTTTTCTTAATCATTTCCTAGTATTTAAACACTTATCATGCCAATAAACTCTGAGCATGTTGAAAAGACACTGTCTCACCAGCATGAGGGCCTGGTACCATGGGCCTCAGGCAAGGAAGGCTGTGCCCCACTAACTCCCCTAATATTCAAACCTGGGCTGTCAGCCACAATTTCCGCTCTCAGTACAGACAAAATTATTTGAGCTGACGTTAAGACAACAAAAATATTTAGCTAATGGATGAAATAGGAGTGGGGGGAAGTAAGCACTTTTGAAAAAGATGGGCTAACTCTATTTCATCAGAAGGTATTAGGTAGCAGTTCCAACTAAACACACAGATTGACATTTTGTTATGTCTAATGTATCTGAAACTCACTGTTCCTTTTTTTGGTCTATTCTTCTTGTAATCAGCTGCATTTTCAGAACTCCAGAAATTATTACTGTGATAAAATATATAAGAGAAAAAAAAATAAACTTTTAAAAGCTCACCAATTTATTCTGTATTTAGTAAGAAAATGAGCTCAAACTGGATAGAGTACACTAGGTTGGAGCATTGTGTTTGGGAAACAAACACTGCTCTCTTTCCTGTCATTCAGTGGTCCCGTGATTTTCTAACAAATCTGAAGATGAATTTCTTAATTTTTAGATAAAACTGAGATATTCGTTATAAAGACAATGCCATTTAGCAGTGCCATGACTTTTAACTTCTTGCACCAGAATCATGGGTTTGTATTTGTAACTGCAGTTTGTTTGGAATGGTAGTAATTATTATAAACATGAACATAACAAAAGCATAATCATCCTTGTGCTTAGATTTCACAGTTATGACATTTTCTGCACTATACATCAGTTTAAATAGCATTTTGTTTCTGACTTTCACCCATCTACTTTGCAAGCTGGCCATGATGTTCCATACAGTCAGAATTTACTTGGTCCTGCACAGGCTTGACCAGTGGCTTTTAGCTGGAAAGCCAGGGATGAAGGCACAACAGGCTGCTTTATTGCTGTACTCTCTCTACTCTCTCCTACCTGTCTCCCTGCCTGTTTTGCTGAGGCTAAGGATAGTGGAGGGAGGGACAATGTTGCTAGTAAAAGGGGAGCACTGTGAGAGTTGGATGCCTCCAATCAAGCCTCCATTTGCTGCTGACACATGCTCACTGTCTGTGAAGGCATTTCAAACTCCAGGGTCCTTTTGGACTCGGCTGTTTTGAAGGGTGACAGGCAGGGGCTTTGTAGAAGATATGCTTCCATTGGTGATTGCCAGCACTCAGGCTATCTAATCAGAACTTGGCTACTGGGTTTCACCGCTGTGATGTATTATAAACCAGGGTACCACCATACGTCCTGAAGGGGAGTACGATAAAATGTAACAGCTTGAATTGCTGTCTGAAAATTGCTGCCTGAAAACTCCAGCTGCTGAAAATGCTTCCTCTCACTTCTCTGCTTCTCACAGGACTGACCCTTGCCCCCTTTCCCTCTGCCACTACTCTGTGCCATGAAGGCTGTGCTCCAAAGAAACAACCAAATTGGCTGTCCAAGACAGGGCACAACATTTATGCTGGGCATGTTTGGTAGCGCTGGTGACTTTCTCCCAGACATTTTAGAGGTGGTGGCTGGACAAAGGGAAACACATGTAAGTAGAGACATTTTATAACGCTTCTTTCAAATGGGTCCTTCCTGCAGATTTCTAAAGCCTGTGAAACAAAATTAATGAATATTTTCCAGCTCCTGCTCTCCCTGAGAAGGCGGCCAGATGTATTTTTTGCTGCCGCTACTATGGCAACCTGTATCAGCACTGCTCGCCTCCAGTGGGTTGGCTCCCACGGCAGGCTGGCTCCTGCTCCCCCCGCACAGGGACATCGAGGGGCGAGAAGGGGTGCTGCATGGGTTCTTCTGTGCCCTGGCAGCTAGCCGGGAGCTCAGTGGACATTAAATGGAATATCTATGGAATGCTAACATCTATATGCCCCCACTGTCAGCAAAGGGGATTGGGATTCACCTGGTGCCTGCAGAGGTGCTTGGCTGTACATCAGAGATGCTCACTTCCCCTGGCGAGCAGTGCCTGGGTAAAGACAAAACACACAAAAGAGGAGGTGGGTAGGAGAAGGGGAAAATGGGTGACAGCAAAATCACAAGGAGATTCACCGTCTCTCTTACAGAGTTTGGATGATGCTGTGGGGTGGGAACTAGAGCTAAAATGGGAAATACAAGACTGGGGAAGACAAAAATATTAACAGAGGCAAATGGGAAGGACAAAAGAAAAATGAAAGGAGGAAAGGTGGTGAATGTGTATGCTGTTGACTGTTAGATTACACTGAGATTAGAAAAGTTAATTTGCTAGAATCATATCAGATTTTTTTAATGAAAAAATCATGGGTTTGCTTCACTAGACAGTCAGGAGCCTAAACCTTCCCTATTACTAGAATCATAAAGCAACTCTTACAAAACCAAAATTCAATTACTTTTTTTTTAACATTGCTGTAGTCTGAGCCACAGAAAGTACCATCTTAGTGAGTGCTTGTCCTCAAAGTTCCCATTCCTAGAGGGAACGTATTCCTATTATAATGAAAATCAGTAATTAACATATTCCCTTAATGTCTGTAATGCATTTGGTGTCCTCATGGATTACAGTTGTGCTTATTTGCACTATTTTCATAACATCATCATCAAACCTGTGGTACACATTTCTTCAAAGATTCAAAGATTTCTAAACGAACCAGCTCACAGGTGGTTCTTATCACTCCTTGTGTGAACATGTTCCAACCCTGACACATTCGAGGCCCCACTGACTATCAAAATGCAAATGCCTTCTTTGTATTCAGAGGCACATCATCTTACTGCCATTTCTATGACACCAACAAGCATAGCTCCCAAGCTGCCAGATCCTTCAGAGGCCTAGTTCGTCACTACCAGCACCATATCAATTGCTGACTATTTCATCATGGTCAAGAAATATCCTTTTCAGCAATTAGAAAGAATGGTTCATAGTTTTGAAACAATCATTTCCTTCACCAACCCGCAGGATAGATGGATGCCTTGATCTCTAAACTGGGCCCCGGTGTCCACCTTCCCCTCCGGTAGGTGCAGCAGAAAAAGCATCTGCACGTTGGACTTTATTTATGAATGGGCACAATAGTAATTTAGGACACATTCACTACTGAAACAGATATCCCCTGTCTCTTCTAGAGGGAAGTGGCAACAAGTCAGAGAAATATATCCCATTACAGGAGTCTGGCCCACAGACCAGCATTTGAACTGCACTGAAATGGTGTATTAAAAATCTTTTTCACTCCAATTTGGAAATTTCCACACCAACACACTCTCAAAAACTGAGATGTTATGTGTCAAATACCTGTGGCGTGGGTATACGTACGATTATCTATGTGAGAACAAAATTTCTTCTTGCAGGTAGAAAAGTCTACAAGTTTTAATTATTCTTTTTCTAAATTTCAATTTTATAATTAAAAAACAATCTGGAATTTGCCATTGCTGATTTTACCAGCTTTGTTGGATCCAAAAAAATTAACTGTGATTTCGAAAAGTACTGAACTTGATGAGGTATTTCCTTCATGTATTCCTACTTAAATGCAAAGAATGTACAAAACTCCATACAAATGAAAACTAACTGATTTATTTGGTTGAAGCTGATGCTTATTTTGTATGTGACCTAATTATTTCTTTCAGAGTTGTGCTACTCATGCTTCTCTGGCTGTGTCTTGTGCTTTTTTTACTGCTTTCTCTCTGTTTTTTCCTGCTGTGCTCTATGAGACACTAAGAAGTAATTGTGACACCCAGCTGCTCAGGTTTTGTGGGGCTGTATGTTGGCTTGGGACAGAGACCTGTGGCTGCATTTAGAGTGGAAGCATCAGACAAGACAATTTTGTACTTCAGGGACTTTTCTATTGCAACTAGAAAGATGGCCTTTATCTAAATACAATCTTTATATTTTGATTTTTTTTTTTTAATATGAAAAGTTACAGAATCATAGAATCGTTTGATTTGGAAGCAACCTTCAAAGATTATCCAGTTCAACCCCTCTGCCATGGGTAGGGCACCTTTCCCTAGACCAGATTGCTCAAAGCCTCATCCAACCTGGCCTTGAACACTTCTAGGGATGGGCATCCAAAATTTCTCTGGGCAACCTGTGCTAGTGCCTCACCACCTTCACAGTAAAGGATTTCTTCCTAATGCCCAATCTAAACCGACCTTCCTTCAGCTTGAAGCCATTCCCCCTTCTTCTATCACCACGTGCCCTGTATAAAGTCCCCCTCCAGCTCTCTTGTAGGCCCCCTTTAGGTGCTATAAGGTCTCCCCAGAGCCTTCTCTTCTCAAGGCTGAAGAAACCCAACTCTCTCAGCCTTTCTACAATAGGACAGCTGTTTACGTCAAGAAACAATATCAAGATAAGTAGATAGCTAGTTTATTTCAGCCCTTTCCCTGGAATACCTCCCCTTTTCCTTGGTTTGACCAAATTAAATATAGTTTTTTAGGAGTAGGTGTCTGGGCAGGCACCTCTGCTGGTGGAGAAGGAGACAGAGGTCTGCAGCTAGTGCATCAGCTCCCCTATGGTTAAGCATGGGCTGCAGAGTGTTCCCCAGCCCATTGGAGAAGATGGCTCATTTCCATGAGGAGGGCCAAGAACAGAAGCTATGCTGGCGTATGTGATGCATCTGTCTCCCAGTTGTAGCTAAAGTCCTCCTTTCTGCACCTGGTCCAAACTTAGCCAACATTGGTTCTTTGGTTCCTCCTACTTTTTCTAATTTTTCCTCATGTTTCTATGCTGAGAGGAAAAAAGAGCAACAATTCAAATTGTTTTGTTCTCTCTCATCTCTCCTGTGACCAGAACCACCAGCTCTCTGACTATACCCATCAATATTGCTGTTTTCAAGTGATGCTGCAGGAAAACTTTCACTGAAGAAGAAAGACCAGCATAGACTTAGCCAGAGACCTGTAATGTTTCTTGAACAGTGAACAAGACCTTTCCTAATTGTGGATATCAATTCTTATATCAAATCTCAGGCTGGTTCTGGTCATACTGTGTGCAGCGGATATGAAGACTATCACTTCAGTAAAGGGTGTCATGAGAAACCAGCCTCAAATTTCCTATGAATAATTTGTTTGGTCTCACAACAACTGACTGCCACTTGATTATCTGCAGAACCTGATCCTCTGCACTGTCCCATCATTTGCTGTTGTCCTTCTATGGACTTCTGCAACATTTCTCTGCTATAAAACCCATAGAGAAAGGCAACAAACCTATGGGTATATTTTTTCCATGCTCTTGCAGAGCATGCACTCAATTAATTAAATATTATATAAAATATCACAGACACTGAGAGTTTCATCATTATCAGATATCTGAGTGCTTAATAGGCTGACTTGTATTGCCCTAACATTCTTGCTGTAGAATAATGCTATATCTCCATATTAAAGAGTAGAAACCAAAGTATAGAATTTACCCATATACACACCGAAGTAGTGTACAATAATATAAGAGTGAGGATACAAGACTGGTCTTCAAAGTCCAAGGCATAGGCTGCACCTAATGTCCTTCTCCTGTACATTAAAAAGAAGTGTAAAACTGTTACAGAGTGGCAGCATTTTCCTTCCTTTTTTTCTGGGGAGAAAGGCAAGCCTGTGGTTTGTTTATCTGAACTATAAGCTTGACCATGAGAATTCTTCCTCTCCTGCCCACAACTGGAGCATGCTCCTTTCTACGCTCTAATCTGCCAAAGTATTTTACATTCATCAATTATTTTTAGGCTTTTAAGTTTTGCAATCAATTTATACTTGTATTACACTGTGTTCTCTTACAAGAGGTGATTTTAAAATCTGATCTTTTAAAAGTAAATAAAGGAAGCATTTTTGAAATAATATGCCTCAAGTAGTAAAAAAAACTCAGATAAAATGATTGTGTGTAGGACTCTTCAAAACAGCGCAATCATTTATACTTCAATACAGGTCTCTTCAGCCTACTGTTCAATAAGGAAGGTGATACAATGTCATGAAGGTGTTTCAATATGGTTTTTTTGACCTCCAATTTAGAGTCTCAATATATTAAGCTCTTCTTTTAGGTTTCACATGAGTTCTTGCTCTTAAGATTTACATGGTTAAAATGTCCAATTCAAGGAAGTCCAGTTAAGCAAGGTCTGTTTCCAAAATGCAATTTCTCCATTAGGGTGCAGCACCTAACGGCACACCACTTTTATAGTGTGTATAATGAGAAGCAAAATATAATGCTGTTGTCAATATTCAACAGATGATTTACAGACTTTTATGTACAGATGATATATATACTGTCATGTGACATTTTTTGATTAAAACATTTTAAAAAACAAACCTGAGATAATTTTGTTCATACAGAAGACAGCAAAAACGTGCATAAAAGGAAGAGTTCTTCTTGATAGCTATTCCATCATAATGATATCTAGAAAATTAAAAAAAAGATCAACTGGCAACCATATGATTTTCAAGTCATCAAATAATTCATAATCCTCCTTTGAAAGCAGATCATTCTATTTAACCAAAGACTAAGTAAAAAAACCCTTATGTTTGTTTTTTTAAATTCTGTTGAATATTTATTTTCCCCAACAGAAAAAAAATTACATAAACTATTTACAAATACTTTTTAACAGTTTTTGCCCTGGAATTATACCTTCTTCTAAATAAAAAAAAAAAGCCAGTGAATAGGGTGCAACAGATTTGTACAGGACAGTTACTGAAGTCAGGGATCAGAGTCTCAGCAGAGTCTCAGAGGTCTTCATATACCCATGGATGTTGAAGGACTTAGTGCAGCTGTTTCCTGGCCATTCACAGTAGCTTGAGGACTGGATGGCCCATCAGTGGTCATGGCGAGCTAAAACTCAATAAACCTGCCAGACCTTCTCTAAGGTTTATCCTGAGCTCAGTGAGCAACGGAGTCACCACCTCTGCTACCAAGGTGTCTCGAGCTGGCTCTTCCCAGATTGGGCCACGATGAAGCCAAGGGAGCAGTGCCGTGGTTTGCAGCCACCAGCAGCCAGCAGGGTAACCTTCTGCTGATGGAGAGAGCATGGAGGCTGGGGGCTACCAAATACTGCCTACTATGAGGAGAAGCTTGGGAGTGTCTGCAGTGAGGCACTCCCAAATTAAAAGATCTCTTGGCTTAAGCTGATAGCAAGTCCAGACTAGTGGAGAAAAGCCACAGATCAAGTAAGGGCATGTTGTTCTCAGAGCCTGTACTTGACAGCTATACAAAATGCTTGTAAAATTTCTCTGTCTCAGTGTCCTTAAAACGTCCCCTTTCCCAGTCTGGATGTTCAGAAGATGATTATAAGTTTGGATACAAAAGAGCATCAAACTCTCTGTGCTCTAGAAAAAGAGAGGAAAGGGAAAAGAAAGGAGAGGGAGGAGGAGGATCTGAAGTTGTCTGATTTAAATGGTTTGAAACTGTTTACAGCATTTCCATTGACCACCAGTATGTGCTGGGTCACTCCATGGATATGTGCAAGGATGAAAAACACAACACAGACATCAATCATGGCTGCCATCCCCATGCATCCCAGAAACAGGCTTTTCTGGCCTTGAAACTCAGTGTCTCAGGAGCTCTGAGTAAGGTTGTGATGTCTAGCATGCAAACCATGCTGTTAATAGCCAGTACAAATCAGAGCAATAATTCTTTTTTTAAAGCAGTCTGACCTGGAATTCATGCCCTACCAAAGCAGATCCGATGTGGTGGTTTTCATGGAATTTACTCTATTTTAACATCCTTGGTGACACCATGAATCACTCTGGATCTTGTGATGTGTTACAGACTTGCAACCAACAATTCAGCTGCTATATTGCAGTGGTGAAAAGTCAGCCACTTTAAAATTTTATTAGAATAGTTAGAAATAACATTTTCAAAGAAAGGACATAAAACCAATACCTGATACTCCCTGCTGTGGTCCGCTTTCTTGTCACCAGACCTGGGAAAACTAACTGAATAAGCTGTAAAGACAAGCACAAAATTACAGATACTTCGCAAATTCATTCTAAAATGCAAAAATGTATCTGCCTCCATTTTTTGTCTTTATCACTTTGTTTGCTTTCCATCATTTGCAGGCTAATACCTGTTCTTACATAACTCTCAAATGGTAACTGTTGAACAGAACTCAATGAGGCTTTTGTGGATCAAAGGCTAAGTATTTAAGGGATTACTTCCCTCAGGTTGGAATTTTTTTTAGAGTAGTCTGTTTTACCTTGCACTGAAAAACATTCAGTGCTCACACCAGTAGACCCCCATGATCGGGGGGGTCAATCAGCTGGGGGAACTTGAGGGCACTGTGATGCTCCCATACTCTGCCAGACCTGCAAGCCTTATTCAATTAAGTAGGACTTACTCACACAAGGGGCTTCACCTTCCCACTTACTCTTGCAAGGTTACTGACAGGATAGGGCCCGACTTACCTGTTTTAAAAGGACCTGAATCATCAAGCTGCAAAGCAACCTTTTGACCACCATAATGATAAGCGTGAACTGAGGTCATGCAGCATCTGTCAAGGTCAGGCTCTACAGTGTAATTAGATATTGTCAGGTTAATAATCCACTTCACTATGATTATTCTGCATGAGGTGTGCTGTGAAGACAGAAACTAACCCAGGACACCTGGAACTAACATTCCCTATATAGCAGGAATAGAGGATCGAGCACTCCATGTTAGTGAGGAGTAAGAAGAGTGTCTACTCAGCAGCACACAGCTTGGACTCTGTGCAGAGTAGCTGGTCCAAAGGCCTGATAAAGACCAGATTTCCCCAACTCACACTAACATGCACCTCCAGTTTTAAGAGTGGTCTTGTTCTTTGCATGTTTCTCCATGCATCCACACCAGCTGCTCCCTTTCTTAAGATGATAGTTTAGCCTAATCTCATTTTCCTCAAAGGGCAGCCTATGAAACTGGTGCTTCTGTGGCACAAGACATACACTTCTTCCCACTGTCTCTTCTACACAGACAGCACTATATTTAAGTAGAGGGACAGGGCAGATGAGATTAGCAGTGTCTTCAATCACCACAGTTTGAATCACGTGGGGGCTTGACTGCAAAAGCCCTCACAGTCCACATGTATGTAGCACAGTCAGGTTACTACAGCTTGGTGAATTATTAATAGCTCAGCCCATTAGCAAGGCTGGGGTAACTATTACATGTGCCCCTTCAGTTTAAACCAGGGCTGCTGCAGTTCCTGCCCTCCTCAGCTTCTTGCTGCATGGTCCTTTCTCCTGCTGCAGGAGGACAGACCATTTCAAGCCACTGGGGAGATGCACCCCAGCTTGCTCATTTGGGTTGTGTTAACTTGCACCGCAATGCACCGGGCCAGTTAAGGCTGTGAGCAAACAGTTGCAAGTACCAACCCATAGCAGCTTTGGCTCATCAGCTAAGCTCTCCTGCGTGACCAGACTCATGCTTCATCTGTGCCTGTCCCAACTTAAAAGTAAAATGCATTAATGTAAACCACAAGAAGGCTGGTAATCAGTCATGCTGGAATACCTGAAAGTGTATAGGCAGAATGAGATTAATCTTACCTACGTGGCTACAAGGCAGAGATATCTAAGCTCGTCACTGTAGACTCAGTAGTCAATGGAGAAAAACAGGCAGTTCTGAGGCACATTTCATCTGAGCGGACTGAGATGATTCATTTTGTGTGAAAGGGAACATATGTAACTACTTATTTCTCTCCATTGGCTACCAAGAGATTTTTAAGGTGACCAGCTTCATGGCAGATGTCTATGCTGAGCCAGGCAAATTCTACCCATGGTCTTAGCTGATGATTCATTCAGCTATGGTAATTAATCACACTGGATCACTCACTCAAATCTTAATTTTCAGTAAAAGTGATTTAACTTATCCAGTAAAAAAATTAGATTCAACTGAATTGAGATAAATGATTCCTAAAATGAGGTTATCCACATAAATGAAATTGATTTCAGTTATAACTTGTACTTATATTATTTTGGGCTTGTATTAAAATAGTGCTTAGTAGCTCTTAGTGTGGGAACTAATAGAATATTGTCAGTTAAAAAGAAAGTACTGAACGAAAAGCCTTGAGCAACAAATAATCACAAGGTTTTCTATCTTCCTTACTTAGATAAAAAATGTTGAATAGCTATGGGTGTTTGTTGCAACTGGGATTTCTAAGTGGTAATTGCTCTGTGGGTTGCATTAACCTCCATATAGTAGAAGAGTGGAACTGTTAGAAGGAAATTTTGCTTGGATGTATCTGTGACAACTTTTTAGGGTATGTTTGGAGCAAAATCTCCACAAGTATACTTTAGGGGGAAGTATAAAATTATGTAACAATGGAAGGTATCTTTTAAAGACAGAAGAATCAACTCCTTGGGATGAGTTGTTTAACCTGATGTTAAAAACAGAAAGCTGGTAAAACTTTCTAAAATACATTGGCAAAAGAAGTCTTTGCTAGTGTAACATATACCAGTTCCCTGAAGAAAATAAACTCCATCACAGACAACTCTCATTTCTCTAGTATAACTGCATCTGCATGAGGGCTTACCAGAAATACATTAGAAAACACACAAGCATAATACGTTATTCATTCTTCTCTGTTACTTAATCTCATTTGATATGCAGTGTGTATATTTGATGATCAAATTTTCTGTTTAGGTATCCCTGCTTATCTTATATATCCTGTCTATGGTGTACCTTTCCAAAGGTGGATGGATGTACTTGAATCTTGAAATCTGGATTGCAGGTTTCAATATACAGTTCATGTAGTAGCCGACAGGGTACAGTGCATCCTCCACACAAATAGAAATTATCAGCTAGCCTTTAAAACAAAAACATCAGTTGGTTTGTATCAGAATTAGAAGAAAGAGTTGTTAGCTTTTCAATTTTTATTTTCCTTGTTTCCAAGGTGTAAGAGAGGTCATGTGAGACTCTGCTATGAAATTAACTCATTCTCATAATTTTTTAATTAAAAAATATAACTTTGTAATATTATAACATTAACACCAATACAGCCAGTATTAGCATTTCTCATATGCATATCAAAAGATCTAACTTTGGTCTTCTAAACAGAAAGGTCTCCACTTTCTCCACCAAAGACAATAATAGGAGAATTTTTCCACCTGAAATATGCGATATGGTGATTTGAAATAGAGAGTACCCAAACTGTAAAGGACAAAATTCTGTTTTCATACAACCTCACTGATTTTAGGACAAGTTTATTAAGAGAACAGAATTTTAATTTACATTACTATGTAACAGAACTGCTAGGACTGAAACAGGTTTAGATGTTTAAATACTCATCCTTTAGCCAAATCCCTGACTCATCTTACTTATCAGAATGGCCATAGTCAAGTAAATGCAACTACTTGTGTAAATAAGGTGAGGAAGACGTAAACTTGGTTACTTATTAGCCTAAAGTATTACCTTCACTGGGAAAAAATGACTTTTAATTATGAGATAATGTCAATGGTTTTGATGTCAGAAGATAGTAGCCTGCAGTACAAATACAGGAGTAAAGCTGAAGCAAAGGAGCAGAGAGATTAATTTTCAAAGCATAACACATTGCTCGTATGACAGTGGTTTCTTACTCTAACTGTGCTTCCATTCTACCAAATGATTTATGCATATTTAATTAATTTATCAGCTGAATGCTAGTGCAGCACAGTGCCAGTTACTCACTGTGTCTTTACTGATAATCCAGTTGGTTGGGAAAGAAGACTTTTCATATTCACTGAGTGAGATAAGCCAGCTGGATTTTAAATCAGCATCCTCTGTTTTATCAGTAGCCTGACTTCAGACAACCCAGTGTTTATCTTTCTGAACTAGCTGTATTGGCAGTAGATAGCAGATAAGGTCTTCAGCAAACTGGCTTGCTAGAACAGACTGAGCAAGAAGATGGTCACTGTGCTGCCTGACAATGTCTACCTCACCCTTTATTCATGTCTCCTCCCCTTCTTCCACTGAAGAAGGCTTTCTGCCTCCCCTAGACTTTCTTCTCCCCAGCAAAAGATCCCCAAATGCCTCACTGATACCTCCTTGGAAACCACCTTCTCACCCACCGACCCAAGAGCCTGGTACTGTCAAGCACCAGGGCTGAGCTGCGCTGGGCTCCCTGCCAGCTCCCAACCACCTCCAGCCCCACCATCCAACAGAAAAGGCTTCACCGATAGACCTGAGGAGGAACCTGCATCCAAAGATAGGGGCTCTGCTGCATTACTGGGGTATTTCCCATCATCAGGCTAAAAGGTAAATGAAATTTATTCTAGATAAGAGTCCTGACTGAGCCCTGCCTCCCAGCAGGCAGAAATGTTGTATCTTCTAAAGCAACCTTCTCAAAACCCTTCACAATTAAGCAGTCCCATGGGAGATTAAAGCTCAGTCCAAATTCATCCTCAATATAACACCAAAAGAGTCACTGGAAGTGCGTCATAAATTAATTCAGTAGGTGGTTTCTGCCAATAGTTTTTCTTTACCATTTAACTACTTAGTGATAAAGTATTTCGGAATTTCCTTTTGTGAATTCATCATCTATTAAACTGCCAGTGTTTTTCAAATAATAAGTTAAACATATTCTTAGTGTTGACACATAATACAAGAATATTGTCTATCAGGAAAAAAAATCCACACAGAAAAGACCACTGTGCTCATCTTCTTGCCTATTAGCCCTAAGGTTTTCAAAACTTGAGTTTTTATTGCATCATCAAACCAAAACTGCTAATAAAGACAAAAAAAAAAATCAAAAGAAAAGAGTGGTAAGGGAGAAAGATTGAGGTTAAACAAAAAGCACATGGCGAAAGACCTCCTCCATTTATCTACTATCTATCCACACTTCGTGTGTGATTTATTACAAAACAATAACAATGTAATCTTTGTTGACCTCACCAAGGCTTTCGATACTGTGAGCAGAAAAGGTCTATGGCAGATTTTGGAACGTTTAGGTTGTCCCCCCAAGTTCCTTAAAATGATCATCTCACTCCATGAGGATCAGCTCGGCTAAGTCAGATATGGCAACACACTTTCTGAGCCCTTTCTAATAACTAATGGTGTGAAACAAGGCTGCATTCTCGCACCAACCCTATTCACAGTCTTTTTCAGCATAATACTCTGAAGGGCCACGGCCAACCTCAATGATCAGGACGGTATCTACATTTGATACCGTACTGATGGAAGCCTTTTCAACCTAAGGCGACTGAAGGCCCACACTAAGACCTTAAACCATCTTGTCCAGGAGTTGCTCTATGCTGATGACACCGCCCTTGTCACCCACACAGAAGCAGCTCTGCAGTGTTTAACATCCCGCTTTGCTGAGGCTGCTGAGCTCTTTGGGCTGGAAGTCAGCTTAAAGAAGACTGAAGTTCTCTATCAACCGGCACCTCAGGAAGTCTTCCATCATCCCCATATCACCATTGGCGAATCAGAGCTCAAATCAGTCCAGCAGTTTAACTACCTAGGTAGCCTCATCTCCTCGGACGATAAGATTGACGGAGAGATAGACAACAGGTTAGCAAAGGCATATAGTGCTTTTGGAAAGCTTCATAAAAGAGTTTGGCAAAATAAACACTTGAAGAAAAGTATAAAGATCAGTGTTTACAGGGGCATAGTGCTGTCTACTCTCTTATGTGGATCTGAATCATGGGTCATCTACCGCCACCACCTGCAACTCCTAGAAAGCTTCCATCAACGTTGTCTCCGTACAATCCTAAACATCCACTGGTCAGATTATGTGACTAACACGTCTGTTCTAGAACAAGCAGCAATCACAAGTATTGAGGCCATGTTGCTGAGAACACAGCTGCGTTGGGCAGGGCACGTATCAAGGATGAAGGACCACCGCCTCCCTAAGATCATGCTTTATGGTGAGTTTGCCACCGACTGCTGCAAGAGAGGAGCCCTGAAGAGAAGATACAAGGACTCCCTGAAACAACATCTCAGCCTTGGCCATATTGATCGACATAACTGGTCTACTCTGGCCTCCAATCGGGAGGTCTGGAGACACACTATCTGTAATGCTGCTGATGCCTTTGAGAAAGCACGCAGGATCACCCTTGAGGAGAAAAGACACCGCAGAAAGAATCGAGCCTTGCAGAATATACCACCTAAGGAGTCCTTCTGCTGTGCCTTTTGCAACTGGACTTGTCTATCTTGTATTGGCCTTTTTAGCCACCAACGCGCTTGTAACAAACGTGGGTAGAGCCCTTCCCAAATCTTCGTTTGCGAAGCCTAGCCATGATGACGATGATTATCTGACTGATTTTAGGACCTCACATGGACTCCAGGTTTTTGGGGTTTGCCACCTGTTCTATTTGAACCCTTGGCAGCCAGGCCACTATACAGGTTGGCAAGTCTGCTGTTAAATCATTTGTGGACCAAAATCTAGTTTGCTGTTGACAATGCACCAACTGTAAAATGAAGCTGAGCATTTAAAATTTTTCAAAACATGAAAAGGGGATTCAGAAGGTTGTCATGATGAAAAAAAAATCATCACTTCATCATTTCAAGGATTGTTTATGATTCAATTTTATGCTATGTCTCAAACCTGTTGGATGAATGACCTTGGATGAATCTCTTCCTTCTGTCCTTTTAAAATGGGAATGCTAGCATCTATATCACAGTAAAAACACAGATGAGCTCCCACTGCTCAGGTATTACTGAGAGGGAGAATAAAATGTTTTAGGATTACTTACTGACAAGTTAAAAGTTCGTTTGTATGTGTTATTACTGTTTCACACAAAGCTCCAACAGTATTTACCAGCTGGACTCATCTGTGATTGGGGAAAGTAGGAAAGTATCCCTGGTTTCTCTTTGGCCATCACATGGAAGGTGATGCTCTTCTCAGAGCACAAGCAAATGATGATGACAACCTTACTCCACCACAGAAAGCGTCTCATTAAGGAGTTCAACCATTACCTTCATCTCAAGAAAGCATAACCTCGGAGAATGTCAAATGGTCAGCATCACTCTGAGTGAGTGCCAGCGTCCCACCAGCTGTGCAGCCAAGCAATCACCCGTGGTGAGGTCTTACCCGTGGGCTGTAAGAGCCCACCAGTCACGAGTGGTCCAGCCAGGGAGAGCCCTTGCCAGCTGCCCTGCAGCATCACACCAAGTGGGTGGCAGCCCAGTGGCCAGGTCCCAGCCAGTGGTCAGGCTGACACAAAATCCCGTTTCCACCGTGTCAAACCACCTTTATATCAGAAAGGCTTGTGGCAGGAGATGGGACTTTCAGGGAAGTTTCCTTGCTTTCCCGGCATCGTTTATGCACCACAGTGATGACGGGGCCTTTGCAGCAAACCAGACTCTTGCCCCACGGAACCGCGAGAAACGCTAAAAGCAGGACTCCTGCGCTTCCCGTGGCAAGCCCACCCGGTGGGTCCTGCGAGCCCCCCGGTAAGGGGAGAGGCCAGCCGCGCCACCTCCCCGCTCCATCCCCAGCCACGCCCGCCCCCGGGAGCGGGGCAGGGGGCAGCACCCACCACTGGAGGACGGGCAGGTACGTGAGGGAAGTGGGGCCGCAGTAAGCCATCTCGGCCGGCTCCGGGGCGGGCTGTAGCTGGGTGTCGGCCATTGGTGCGGGGCCGGTGGGTCCGGGGCCGTCGGGTAACGGACGGTGGGTAACGCCCGGCCCGCGCCACCCCCGCGCCCGCCCCGCGCCCGCCCCGCCGGCCGCACGGGCGCTCCGCGCATCCCCCGACAGCCCCGGCGGAGTGGGACCTGCGCCCTGGGAAGGGCTGGCCTCAGTGCCACCGCCTGCATCCCTGGCATTCACCGGCATTCCTGGCGCCCACCCCTTTGCCTGCAAATGGGAATTTCACAGGAACTGCAGGAGAGGAAAGGAATGATACGCAAATTGGAAAGAAGTGAGAATGGCCGATTGTGCGGCTCTACATCTGAATATCACGTAGTGATAGGAGAGGGGGGAATGGCTTCAAACTGAGAGTAGGTTTAGACTACGTATTACGAAAAAATTTTTTCCTTTCTTTACTATGAGGGCGGCAAAGCACTGAAACAGGTTGCACAGAGAAGTTGTGGATGCCCTATCCATGGAAGGGGCCAATGGATGCCCCACTGTTAGATGGGGCTCCGGGCCCTGCCCATGTCAGGGGTGTTGGAACTAGGTGATCTTTAGGATCCCTCCCAACCCCAGCCATTCTATGATTCCATGATTCTGTGATCACAAGTGCCATCTTATAGGTTTTGCATGTCTTTAAAATGTTACTTTCAGAGTTTTCAACAAGAATGCCATAACCTCCCATAATTCATAGAATCATAGAATCATAGAATCAACCGGGTTGGAAAAGACCTCCGAGATCACCAAATCCAACCCTTGGATCCAACACCACTGTGGTTACTAGATCATGGCACTAAGTGCCACATCCAGTCTCACCTTAAAAACCTCCAGGGACCATGGATCCACCACCTCCCTAGGCAGCCCATTCCAATGTCTGATTACTCTCTCTGTAAAAATTTCTTCCTAATATCCAACCTAAACCTCCCCTGGCAGAGCTTGAGACCGTGCCCTCTTGTCCTACTGCTGGTTGCCTGGGAGAAGAAACCAACACCCATCTGGCTACCACCTTCTTTCAGGGAGTTGTAGAGAGTGATGAGGTCTCCTCTGAACCTCCTTTTCTCCAGGCTAAACAATCCCATCTCCCTCAGCCTCTCCTCACAGAACTTGTGCTTGAGTCCCTTCGCCAGCCTCACTGCTCTTCTCTGGACCTGCTCCAGCACCTCAATATCCTTCCTGAACTGAGGGACCCAGAACTGGACACAGTACTTCAGGTGTGGCCTCACCAGCACTGAGTACAGGGGAAGAATCACTTCCCTGGTCCTGTTGGCCACGCTGTTCCTGATCCAGGCCAGGATGCCATTGGCCTTCTTGGCCACCTGGGCACACTGCTGGCTCATGTTCAGCTTCCTGTCAATCCAAACTCCCAGGTCCCTTTCTGCCTGGCTGCTCTCCAGCCACTCTGTGCCCAGCCTGTAGCATTGCATGGGGTTGTTGTGGCCACAGTGCAGGACCCGGCACCTGGCCTTGTTGCACCTCATCCTGTTGGAATCAGACCATCTCTCCAGCTTGTCCAGGTCCCCCTGAAGAAAATTGTTTAATTTCTCTTTGATGCAGACAGATGAAAAGTCTGTCTGCTCTGCTGAAACCCTGTAAGTACTTTTCCATTGCAAGTATCCACTATGCAAAATGAGCTTTTCTGCCATGTGACTGATGAACATAAATTATGTATGGCTGGATCATCTAAAAGCTTACTAGTGGATGGCTTTGGGTTACATCAGAGCTCAGCTTCTCAGAAACTCCCACGGCTCCCTCCTGTTAATTAGCTTCCTGAAAGCCCACATATGAGACAGACTGGCTTCCTTGCTTTGTAAGGACAAGATGACCAAAGCCAACACGTTAGTAGGCAGCAGTATTAAAGCGGGAAGGAGGGGATGGACACGGACTTGGGGCCACAATACCAGGAAAGGGAATTTAGGGAAGAAGATTGCTGGTTTTCTAGTGCCCCAATGTAGCATGCTTTTGAGGAGCAGTGCACACAGATATCATGTATAATACATGTTGCTCTTTATCTGTGAAGCCTCATGCTGTGTTGAAAACCACATGGGAAGATGCTGTTCACTCAAGGGCCCCTGAACCAAAGCCTTTAAAATTATTTCTGCCCAAAGCACAGGTTAGTATACGCACTGTAACCAATACAATCTGTCACCAGTAATTGTACTTAATAACCGATTGTGTAGGCTTCCCTCAGGAGATACAGTTCATGTTTTTTTACATCCATGGTCTACTGATCCCCTCTGTGGGACATTTAACTTACACAGCAGATACTCCTGCAAATACTGCAAAGTGAAAGCTTTCTCAGGTTAAACCAGCTGTTGTAAGAACTGGCAGCAGTGATATTGCAGCAACTATAAGACTCGTGTGGTGTTGTCATCTAAGTACTCACAGAGCTTCTGTGCTGGGGCTTGCAGTAGATACTGCCTGACACACTCACGTCCAGTTCAGGTGTGCCTGTCCATACTGCACTGAGAGCAGTCTCCTCCACTTAATCCACCTGAGGAACAGGAACACTCATCTCCAGTTTCCAACAACTGGCTTGCTTATATGTTTGCATGTGCTTCTGAGTCCTGGTCATAGTTCTCAAGGGTCACGACCCACAACTGACTTTTTGGGACTATCTGAAACTGTACAAAGTTAGTGAAGCTCCCTAGGCCTGATGCCTGAGCAGGAAAAAAAGACCCAAAAACATTCACAACTTATCTAAAACTGAAAAATGATAAATGGGCTATTTCTGTGGTAACAGATTAAAACAAAGGAAGTCACACAGATCAGAAATTCCCTGGACTACACCTAATACTCAGAAAGGTCTTGATGAGAGGAAGCAAAAGATGCACAAAAAAAACTGTCCAGTTACTGCCCATGGCTTGAGAGATATAAATAAGGTCACAGAACTTCTCTTGCCCAATTTCCAGATAATGAGATAGATAGATCTGTGTGCTGTTCAAATCTTGACACTACTTTTATTTGATTAGGCTCTTCCCATTTTTTTCAGAAAATGACTCTTTAACCTTTCAGATAATTCTAACACTTGCTTTTTTGGGGGGCTGGGGAGGGAAGGGGGCAGGGATGGAAGGGAGATTCTGACTTGAAATGCCAGGCTGCTAGTAGAATTCGATTGAAAACCTGAAATCTGCTTCTTCAATTTAATCCAGTAAGATTGGACTGGGTGGATGTACATTAGGTCAAGCTGTAGAAAGTCTTTATTCTTGCATAAGCTGAAAGTTGCAAAGTTCTTTATTGCTGTCACAAACATACTCCTTGTGCAAAATTAAAGAGTATTTAATGAACATGCACTTTGACTGAAAAAAAATTGGACCTAAAATGGTCCTTGGTTGAACTGATTAAAAGAGGTGCTAAAGAAGCTCCCTTCCTCTGACTTTTATCCATAACTAGCACAAATTTAAACCAAACTCTGAGGTAACAAACATCTCTAAAACATTGTAAGGAATGTCTTTAGCATAAAATTACCTCTTCAGATTACTGCCTCTGCTCACCCCCCCATCCTATATTCAAGAGAGGATTTGGATACCTTGTGAGAGTTGGATGGCTTGTGAGGTAAACAGATCATGTAAGAGCTTTTGCTACTGACAGCTGTTTTGTAAAGGTAAGTGCTGGCATCTCTCAGATATTTACAGTTTTTTAAAATAAGTACTTTATAAGATTTTTAATGCTTAAGCTAAAGTATGTATGAAACAGTCATGAAGGCAAGTGAATCCACTACAGCTTCCACTACCACCAGCAATGAAAATATGTGACTGTAGTAAATTGTATGTTCCCCTAGAGTTGAAAAGACATCCATGGTATTTATTTCATTTATTCTCACGTAGAAAGGAATGGGTAAAAAAGGTTGAAAAGTCAAATCAAGAAACCAAATCTTTCCCTGACACCACCAAACCAAGGTCCCAGAGAAACATACCATTATATTTTCAATATGAAAAGTTAAAGAATTGGGTCAGTGTTAGTTTAAGAGTCCTGGTGGACCGAGGTAAACATCCCTATTTGGGAAATTAATCAGTACATTTTGTTGGTTTGGCTTTTGTCTGTTTTTTTTTTTCTCTACTAGTTGACCTACCAGGGACAAAATTGCATATGTGCAAAGGTTTACTCTTTTTCCTTCTGAATAATGCCAATGACCAGGCATTACCTCAAACCAATCAGCTTACTGTGAGCAGAGATGTTCAGAGTCCTAGTTATCTTTCAAACTTTAGTTTAAAATATATCACTTGAAAGAATTAAAAAAATACAAAAGGTTGTATCTGGTTGTGTCACAATGTTTAAAGCAGCAGCAAAACCAAAACAGGATTGCAACCACCTTCTCCTTGAATATAATGCTTTGACATTATAGGAAACTATGTCCTTCACAAGCCACACACTTGGACATGAATGCACATGAGGAAGAAGAAGGCTCCTCTCCTAAGTGCCTATGGCATGTGAACTCTTTTGCAGAAGAAAATCCAGTTCAGCAAAGCTTGTCAGCATGTGTGTAAGACTGCTTCATTTCAGCAAAGCATTTATGAATGCACTTATATTTAAACATGTACTTAGCTGAGTTGTTTTGGTGAGTGGGGATTGATGGCTGAATTGAGGCATTAAACATTAATGATGGAGCTGGAAACACAGAATAGTATGTAAATTGGGATGTGTCATGTTGGGACTAGAATAAACTGATTCAAACACTGCAATCATTGGATGATTAAGATCTCTTGAAAGATGTGAAGCCATTAGAAATTCTTAGAACCTGGTGACTTGAGAAGGGGCACAATCACTGCCAATCATTCAGTCCTCGCCTCATCTCATCTCAAATCACTTGGTTTTAGAGCGTTTGGTAGGGAGACTGGATGGAAATCTCTTCCACTTAGAAACTGAAACACTTAAATTTCTGTTGGTACAACATTAATTCTAGATGTTGCCCAGGACAGTGTCATCTATTGATCTCCTTTTAACCAGGATGAAAAATGAATTCTTTGGCTTCTTTTGGTCCAGCCACAAGTGGTAGCAGGGTCTATCTGAGCAGCTCTGTCCCTGTTGTCTGGAGAGAGCC